GCCCAAAACCCAGTGATCCCTGAACCTGGGTCCTTGTTGGCCACAATTTTACATTTCACAATTTTACATTTTTGTTATAATAAAACCCACTAAGGACTAAAAGTGATCATTTTTTATATATCTCCAACAAGGAACCAGGAACCCTACAATGACACCCGAAGCCCTGGTTTGGCTAGTGCAACTTCTCCCCCTTCGGATAATCGGAAGCCGCCCATGCAGAACACAGCCCACTTCAGCCTCTGACGAGAGTAGAATCGATGTTCCAGTCTGCCCGGCATTCCCCTCTTCTAGCAGCTGCAATACTGCACCTAACATACAAGACCTTCACCTCCTTACGCCTACCGGCTCTTACCCTAATCCTTAATCCCTAAAGCCTAAGCCCTAAACTCTAAACCCTAAGCCCTAAACCCACAACTCACCCCTACGGGGAGTGCCCTTGCTTGCTGACACGAAAAGGGGCGCATTGCACTTTAAAAAAAATCCCACAACTCCCATTCCCCTGAACTTTGAGATGACCCCCGGGGTTGAAAAGAAGAGCCTCTGGGAGATTTGGGGTTCAGCGTTTGGAGTTCGGGCTATGGGTTTTAGGGCCTAGGGTTCGGAGTTTGGGCTTTGGGGTTTGGGGTTTGGAGTTTTGGGGTTTAGGGTTTGGAGTTTTGGGATTAGGGTTTGGAGTTGTGGGTTTAGGGTTTGAAGTTTTGGGCTTTGGGGTTTAGGGTTTGGAGTTTTGGGGTTTAGGGTTTGGAGTTTTGGGTTTAGGGTTTGGAGTTTTGGGCTTTGGGGTTTAGGGTTCCTTGGGCCCAAATCAGGAGGAAGGAAGACTCGGGAAGCGCAGGTTTAGGTGTTGGGGCTTTGGAGTTCCCGAGACCCTAAACCTCCTAAACCCCCTAAACCCCCTTAAGCCCCCGAAACCCTAAACCCTAATCCCCCTAAACCCCCTAAACCTCCCAAACCCTATAAGCCCCCTAAACCCTGGAGACCCTAAACCTCCTAGGCCCTAACCCCTATACCCCTAAAGGAACAGCGACAACAAAGAAAGGACCCGAGGCCAAACCCTGAACCCTGCACCCCAGAAGCCCGGGCCCTGAACTCCAAATTTTAGGGGTTTTGGGGTTTAGGGTGTAGGGATGTAGGGGTTTAGGGGTTTCGGGTTTAGGGGTTTCGGGTTTAGGGGTTTCGGGTTTGGGGATTTAGGGTTTAGGGATTTAGGGGTTTAGGCATTTAGGGTTTAGGGTTTAGCCAAAATTCGATGCCATCTCCAAGTTCCTTAGCTTGTCGTCGGCTTAAGTTCTAAAAGGGTTTAGGATTTATCGGGGTGAAGGCTTAGGATGTTTTAGGAAGGTTTAGGGTTTAGGGTTTAGGGTTTTGTAGGTTAGGGTTTGTTTGGGACCCCAAAACTATCCCTCCGATGTTTTAGGAAGGTTTAGGATGGTTTTGGGTTTTGGATGGTTTAGGGTTTGTTTGGGACCCCAAAACTATCCCTCCTTCCCTCCCGCCTCCCCGCGCCCAAGCTGGCTGAGGTTCAACGGCCTGGACGACGAGCTAATGCGATGGGACGTCTGGGTGAAGGTGCCAAATCCTTAGACCTCAACCCTCAACCCTAAACCCTTATAGTAATCCGTGCCGAACCCTTTGAAAAAAAGCCTCTTACAACCCTTTCAGTGGCTGGGATTATCGGGCGAAAGTCCTCCGACCGATGCGAAGCTGGCTTTAGCCCTTTCATCTCGGGGCGCGAAAAACCTTGACCCTTTCGGGTTTAGGGTTTAGGGTTTAGGGTTTAGGTCTGGGTGGAAGTTCTGGGTGCCATGTTGGAGTTTACGGGCCGGGGCCTAGGTTTGGGGAATCCTACAGGATTCTGCTCTCAATATGGCACCCTATAGTTTGGGAACCCAAAACGGGCCCACCAGAGTTTTGACAACCACCCATATGTACACACACTATCCCCTATCCACCCTATGCACTCAACTGCACACTCGAGCTGCGTGCACCAAGCCTGGGATCCACCTCGACCTTGCTGTATGTCGCTTATGGCACCAGCAGCAAGTATTCAAGCGCCATTCCATAGGTTTCAATACGGCTGCTTGATCAAAACCCTAAACCCTAAACCCCATACACCCTAAATCCTCAACTCCTCAATCCATAGAAGACCTGGGCCGTGCCTAACTTCAGGATGTGGAGCTGTTAGGCTTGGGATCAACTTCCGGCCGATGTCTAAAATGCACGTCTGCAATGGCTTTGCAATGGACGACGGCCGTCAGCTACTAGACCCTAAACCCTAAACCCTAAACTAAGGGTCTGAACATCAACCCCGAAGCTCCCTAATCAGAAAAACCCTGTCCTCTAAAGCTCTAAAGCCCTACAAACCCTAATCCAAAGCCCCTAAAGCCCTAGAAGCCCTCCCTTAATCCCTACAGCCCTAAAGCCCTAGAAGCCCAAGAAACCCTAATCCTAAACCCTGGACCACTAAAGCCCTAAGCGCTAGAAGCCCTAGAACTCCTAATCCTAAACCCTGAACCCCCAAAGCCCTAACCTCAAGTCTTAGACCCAAACCCCAAACGGTAGAGCTTAGGGTTTAGGATTTAGGGTTTAGAGCTTAGGGAGTGGGGTTTCGAGTGGAGCTTTGGGTTTAGGGTTCGGGGTTCCGGAGTAAGGATTCCGGGTTTAGGGAACTTGGGGTTTAGGGTTTAGGGAACTTAGGGCTTATAAGGTTTAGGGTTTAGGGGTTTAGGGTTTTAGGGTTTTAGGGTTTAGGGTTTTGCCTTAAGAAACCGGCGCGCGCGCCTTTGAGGCCACTTACGAACGCCTTGCAGCAGCCGGCGCGGAGGTCAAGATGGCGCCTGGGACCTCGCAAGCTGGATGTCGATGTGCTAAACATGAATATAGGGGCGTCAATAACTACTTTTGTTTTTTTGGAGGGGGGGGGGCTCCTTGTTATGACTATACTATAAAGGACCCCAAGACCTTATTCTAATTGTAAAGGCCCCTAAATACAAATTACCTGATGCTATTATGGGGATCTTTATGAAAACATAGAGTATACTATACAAAAAAAACCTATTGTGATTCTTCAGGCTCCTATTTGAGGCGTTAAGGTATCGGGTGTAAGCGGCTGTTTGGATTGCACGACAACTACTGTGGGTCTTCTCACTCCGGCTATCACGTGTCTGATTATTGTGTGAGTTGGGAGTATATTGTTTGTCGGAGGTCGTCGATGAGGGAGTCGACCACGGCGAAGAGGAAGACAAGTGGATTCGACGCTTTTTGACGGACGTTTTGAAGAGCACCGTCCCAGCCTTACTGACCCCTCCCCCCCCCCGCCCTCGCAGAACATGGCAACTCACCCCTGCCCTAAGCCCGAAACCCCAAAGGAGCCCCGAACCCTCTTTCAAAAGCCCCATAATATTGGGACCTTTATAATTACCTATACT